CTGCTGACCGGCAAGTCCTGGGACGTGACGCTGCGGGGCGGCGGCCGCGAGCTGACGGGGACCCTGCGGACCTCCGAGGAGCCCCTCACCAAGGCCCTGTGCCTCCTGCTGGCGGTGAGGGCCGCACTCACCGAGGTAGGCGATGCGGTTTTCTGCATCTGCAAAGTTTTATCCTTACAAAGCCCAAATTTAGGTCATTTTTGACAGCTTTATCTAATATTGCCCTCCTTAACTTCCTCCTTGATCGCACTCGGACAACCGATTACACTCTACAGAAACAACTCTAGGAGCCAGGAGCGCTATTTTAGCGAAACACTTGCTGTTGCAGTGTTGTGTTCGTTGTGAGATATTGATGCTGTCCCTATCTCAGATAAGGTACCTACCCTGTCAAGTCATAGGCGTATCCAGCTACCACAGTCCATATTATAATGTGGTCTAAAGTTAAACATCTTCGTTTTCCGGCAACAAATTCTTACTTTTAGCTAGTTACTAGCTGCTAGTATCTGAACCTCACGGAATCCACGCGTCTATGAGCAGGGTTAACTCTACCGTCCGCATGTAATGTTCTGAGACCTGCTGTGTGCCACCGTGTCCGTGTTCTACATCCAGTGTGATTGTGCAGGACCGAGCTGCTGAGCGGGACCCACTACCTGCAGCTGCGCCCACACCACCTGCAGCCCCCCTTGCCGCCCGGGGCCAACCCCCTGCCGAGGCACCGCCCCCGCGGGCGATGGATGTGAACATTATCAGCTTCAGTGGACCCGACGACAACCAGCTTGACAAGGCCGCCTTGTTGCGGGACGCGCCGGGGGTGAGTGTGCGCCGGACCCCAACCCTGAGGGCCCGCACGAGGCTGCGGGGAGCGGCCCGGTACACTGCAGACAGTCCCGCACGTTACCGGCCGCCCTGAGAGTGACTCTGTTCTGACGCAGGTGACCCGGCTGGTCAAGGTGTGGTGCCACAAGGACCCCGCCTGGAGCCTCGAGCTGCTGCAGCGCGCCGCGCCCACGCTGGAGCGACTGAGTGTGATCCACCCCCTCGAGGCCAACCTGCGCGCGGTGCACGCCATGCCGCTTCTGAGGAGGCTGCACGTGGAGGGTGGTGATGATGCCCTGCGCCTGGCCATGGCCCAGCCCCCCGAGCTGCCCGCGCTGCCGCCGGGACATGCCGGCCTGCAGTGGCTCAGGGTGGAGCTACTCCCCCGCGCCACGACTCAGTCCCTGCTGCGGGCGCACGGCGGCACGCTGCAGGAGCTGGAGCTGGGAGTGGGCACGGAGACGAGGGTGGGCGAGGGAGGGTGGCCAGACAACTGCCGCAACATGAAGTCGCTGCTGCAGCAGAGCGGGCTGCGGGCGCTCAGGAGGCTCGTGCTGCGGCGGCGGTACAGCCACGAGGTAGCCGCCTGCAGGGAGCAGCGCGCCGAGGTGCGGCGGGTGCAGCCCAGGGCCGAGGTGCTGTGCGACAGGTGTCACCATGTGGCGGAGGAAGAGGCCTAGGGGCGGCGAGCAGCGGTCGTACCCCCGCCACCCTGTCAAATTATTCATCCATGTACTGCGTCATAAGATAAAGACATCTAATTTTAACACAACTTGTATGGCATCAAGAATAAAATAAGAGAAACCTGCAGTAATATTATTTTTATTATAATTATTACCAACTGCGATGACCAACTGTTTTATTTGTACGTCGCACCGAGGCGTGACGAAGATAGATGTCGTGCTCTGAGTATGGGAGATTTATCTGTGCGTGGTGGGTGCAACACCTCGGAGCTCACTAAGCGGGCGGCGGCGAGCGCCGGGCGGGTAGGCCGACCCGCGCAGCAGCGCCGTCGAGCGGGACGGCCCACCCGGCGCCTGCCGGCCGACTGCCACCCGCGCCGCGCACACAGAATTACTGCATTCTTAAATGGGGCTTCTAACCCTCTCTTACAGTTGGCAACTGTCTTAACTGGATGTAGGTGAGAAACTTACTTGGCGGCGGAACCTTCTCAAATCCACGAAAGGCTTTGAGCGTGACACTACTTCTGGTTGATCAGCCTGAAGTTGAGGTCCTGTGCCGTGAACACGCAGGCGATGGACGCGATAACGGGACGGGCATGTTTGCCGACGCGGAGGTTGGCGACCTGGAACGGGCCCAGTTCGCCGATGTGCAGCGGCGCCCTCTGTCCACGGCCTCGGGGGCGGCCGCCATGGTGCTGAGCCCTCGGCTGAGCCCTCGGCTGAGCCCTCTCGGCCCAGCCCTCGAGGACGCTCGATACGAGGACCTCACGGGCAGGTTGGCCCAACGCTTGCGGGTACACTTCGAGCAGCGCCATCGAGGAGCTAGAAGCTCGAGCGGAGGAAAGATTTCCACCGGACCTCGGTGTTCCACAGGCCACAGGCATAGAATGCGGATTGAAAATTGAATAAGGCGGAATCATGCGGAATAGCTGTAGCGCGCGCTCAAAGACTTGCTTCACAGACGGTTTTCATGCCGTTGGGTTACAGATCTTGCTCCGCAAACCGAGAATCGTAAGTTTTCATTTACTTTTCCTTATAGTTTCTCGTCGATACGAAGGTTGATGAGGAAAACTTTATACAAAAATTCCATTACAAACTTAGAGATTTTAAAACCCCCCTAGACGAGACAAGTCGTGCGGGAAAATTTAAAAATCATGTGGATTCCCGCGCAAGGAGCCGGCTGCTGATTGGTGCGGATCGCCTGCCCTCTGGCGTCGGACTCATGCGGCTTGAGTTGAGTCAACACTCAGTTCGGTTCCAGTTCCAGTTCCAGTGGTCAGCTCGGCGGATGCAACGCCTAGCCCAGCGGAGCCCGAGTGAACTCCAACCCCATCCAAGCCTCTCTGCCAAAGGGGCGTGCAGACGCGTCTCCTCTGACCTCGACAACCAACCGTCCCCGCAGTCTCAGGCGAGCCGGCTTGTGGACGCGAGCGAGCCGCACGAGTACGGAGAGGTTAGGACCAGGACGCCCCGCCCGACCAACAAGTTAGTAGGCCTGTAGCCTATAGCTTCTGCAGCGCAGCGTATCATACTCGTGGGCTGAAGTGGGCAATGTCTCTTTAAGAGTCTGCGTGCAATGTTGGCCAGGGACCAAAGTGTCAGATAACTCGACCTTGAGGAGAAATACCGGTGGTAACAGAGGAGTCGCCGTGACGTCAGCGCCAGCGCCGTGCTTGCCACGCGCTACTCCGCGCTGCAGAGACACTCCCGACTCCCGTTCCCGCCGCGGCGCTACCCCGGCCGGCCGACTACCTCCTGCAGCTCCGCAATCAGCAGCATGGACTTGGAGTGCGACATCTGCACCGAGCGCTTCGACGGCGCCGAGCGGCTGCCCAAGGTCCTGCCGTGCAGGCACACGGCTTGCCTGCAGTGCCTGCGCCAGGTGCCCGACAGCAGCTGCGCGGAGTGCCGCCGGGTGAGTGGCCTGGGGTGAAGTCCTGGATCACTCGTTCGTTGTTAAACTCGTTCTGACCCGTTCTCCGCGCAGGACTTCAACGGCCCGCCGGACGGACCCACCACTAACTTCTTGGTGCTGAAGTCGTTGGAGGGAGTCAGGCTGGCCAGGTGAGCTCGCTCGCGCGCACCCGGCCGCGGAGGCGGGGTGTTCGAGAGCCTCATGGCCTGACTTGTGCCCCACAGCACTCCCCGCTGCTGGTGCTCGGACTGCCGCACATCCCCGTCGCCCCGCTGCTGGGATGAGGACCACGACGTCCTACCCGTCAAGAGAGCCCTGCGGCGCCAGCTTCAGGACGCGCTGCCGC